GTTTGTTTATTGTTGTTATTATCTACTACTTAATGAAGGAAATTATATGGTATTTGACCTTGTGCCTCTGACTTACTTCACTTTGCATAATACCCTCAATGTCCATCCATGTTGTTATAAACCAATGTTACCGCAATAAACAAATAATTAAAAACAATAAATAAATAAAATAAAAGAGAGAAAGATGCCATGAACATTTAATTGACAGAAGACTTGAAACTAGAGGATAATATGATAGATGAGAGAATCAGCATTAAAATTATTTTGAATAGGCTGCTTCCAATTTAACAAACCTAACAGGATGAATATAAAGGGATAAATATAAAGCCTATATTTGGTTAAGCAGAGAAAAAAACAAAAGTCAACCACGCTAAGGACAGGATGAGGAAAAATGCCCTTCATGTTCCCATGAGCAGCTATGTGTCTTAGTAGTTCATAGGTAGAACTGTCATGGTCAGGGAAGATGACATACTCGTAAAGGTAGGTTTCTGCAGATGTTTTTGTTTAGTTCTAGGTGCCACATCATAATAGGTCCTCAATGAACCATTCCCAAAGGAGATAAACAGGATTCGTGTGCATCTTGGAAAACATGTTATATCAAGAAAGGTTACAGAAACTAGGAATTTTTCCCCTGAAGTCAGAGGAAGTATCTCAGGAAGCAAGAGGTGGCACATTTTACTCCGACACCGTCCTTGTAGCCATTAAACTGCCTCATAATGGAATGGATACCCCTGAAACAAAGTGAGATCCTTGCCTCTGGGACTGTTTAAATCGAAGCTGGATGTCCCCCTGCCCAATTGTTGCTACGGTGTCTTCTCCATGGCACCTAATCTCATGACTTCTATACAGACTTCCAGTGCAAGGCCCTCTGAATCTATGAAACCACTGGGAAGAAAAAAACATCAAGAGGCACTGGGAAAAGAGGCAAACTACTGAAAACACCCGCTAAGGTACCTTAGACGCCACTCTGCCTCTATTCTAAACAGCGTCCCTGAAATAATATTGAGAAACTGCCTGAACGAATGTCAGAGTTTAGCTGAAGAATCAGAGGCAGAATGCCATCCTTAAGTGTGCAGCTAAGAGACTTCTGACGGTATAATTGAAGTTACAGTAGAGGACAGGTAAGGGATGACTTTATCTAGACCAAGTATTGTTGTACCCCAAAAAGAAATCTACCTAAATAAATACACACACAAATAAGCTGACTTTTAAGAGTCCACTATGTTTTTCCACCTATGCAAATAATTGGCTTACAAAAAAGACCACGTGCAGAAGTTCAGGGCCCTTTTCGAGTCGACTCCCACGCTGAGCCAGAACTTGCTGGAGGCGAACGACTCAGGCACCTAGGACACAAAAGCTGAGGAAACACTCACCGCCAGGGGCCTGTAAGTGCCTCTAGGCTCCGCCCCTGAGAGTGAGTGTCGCTTTAAATGTCGCGTCAGAAGCGCTTGCTTCTTACCTCACCCTAGTCCCGGTGCTGTGATTGGTCAGACCATCTAAGCCCCTCCCTGAGGCCACGTCAAACAAGAATGCCCTAGGTAACAGCCACAGAGCTACCTGATGGCGGTTGAGTCCCTTGGTCAAAGAGGCTGAAGAGAGAGAGGTCTCAGGGGATGTCTTCCCCGAACTCTAGGTAGGCAGAGGCCCTCACCAACCCTACCATTACGCAGCAATGGCCTGGGCCCCAGAGCGGAAGAGGGCAGAGCCTAGAGATGGCGGGGCCAGCCGGGATGGCAGGGCCGGCCGGGGCGGCTGGAGCGGCAGGGGCGGCTGGGGCGGCAGGGGCGGCAGCGGCCCCTCCAGCTCCCTGGAGCCTAGGGCCTGCAGCTCCGGAGACCCACCCCTCTGCTTCAGATTAAAGAACAGTATGATTGGGGTGGTGATCGGTCGCGGTGGATCGAAAATAAAAGACATCCAGAGTGCGACAAGCACCAAAATACAGATCATAAAAGGTGATTCTGAAGCCGAGGTGAAAATTTTCGGCACCAGAGAAATGAAAGCTAAAGCCAAAGCAGCTATAGAAACTCTTGTTAAAAAGCAAGAAGCTAGGTGCGGTTTGGGATCCAGTGTCGATAATGCTGCGTCCCAACCCTCTGTTGCAAGAGGCGTCAGCACAGATAACGTTGCTAAAGTTCGGCCGCTGATAGATTGGGACCACGTAAGGGCGGAGGTTGTGGAGTGGGAAAAGAGGAAATGGGCGGATTTACCACCAATTAAGAAACACTTCTACGTAGAATCCAGAGCAACAAGCTCATTATCTCAAGTGCAAGTAGACGCTTGGAGAAAGGAGAATTTCAACATCGTGTGTGACGACTTGAAAGATGGTGAAAAACGTCCCATCCCCAATCCAACCTGTACATTTGAAGATGCTTTCCAGCAATATCCCGAGCTTATGAAAAGCATCAAGAAAGCAGGGTTCCAAAAGCCAACGCCAATTCAGTCACAGGCATGGCCGATTGTTCTACAAGGAATAGATCTCATAGGAGTTGCCCAAACTGGAACAGGCAAAACATTGTCCTATTTAATGCCTGGGTTTATTCACCTCCACTCGCAGCCAATCTCTCGAGGACAAAGAAATGGACCTGGCATGCTAGTCCTTACACCCACTAGGGAATTAGCTCTGCAGGTGGAAGCGGAATGTTCTAAGTATTCATATAAAGGTCTTAAAAGTGTTTGTATATATGGCGGCGGAAATAGGAAAGAACAAATCCAAGACATCACCAAAGGCGTGGACATCGTTATTGCAACTCCCGGACGACTGAATGATCTGCAAATGAATAAGTTTGTCAACCTAAGAAGCATAACCTACTTAGTCTTAGATGAAGCAGATAAAATGTTGGATCTGGGGTTTGAACACCAGATCATGAAGATTTTATTAGATGTGCGCCCAGACCGGCAGACTGTCATGACAAGTGCAACTTGGCCAGATACCATTCGTCAACTTGCAAAATCTTATTTGAAAGAGCCTATGATTGTTTATGTTGGTACTCTGGATCTAGTTGCCGTAAATACGGTGAAGCAAAATATAATTGTCACCACAGAGGAAGAAAAACGATCTCTTATGCAAGAATTCCTACAGAGCCTGTCACCCGAAGACAAAGTCATCGTGTTTGTCAGCCGAAAACTTGTTGCAGATGACTTATCAAGCGATTTAAGCATCCAGGGCATACCGGTACAATCCCTGCATGGCAACAGAGAGCAGTGCGAACGGGAGCAGGCGTTAGAGGACTTTAGAAGCGGAAAAGCGAAAATATTGATAGCTACCGACTTAGCATCCCGAGGTCTCGATGTTAACGATGTCACACACGTGTATAATTACGACTTCCCACGGAATATTGAAGAATACGTCCACAGAGTAGGGCGTACTGGAAGAGCAGGGAAGACTGGAGTAGCTGTTACCCTTATGACTCGAGATGATGGGAAGGTTGCCGCGGAATTGATTCAGATTCTGAAAAGAGCCAATCAAAGTGTCCCAGAAGATCTTCTAACAATGGCAGAGCAATACAAGTCACGTAAAGAAAGAAATGACCCGGGAAAAAAATCAAGAAGGCCTCAAGGAAAAGCCAAGGACTTTCACTGATGTCTACATTGAAAACTTGTGCCAGGCTACTGGAAGATTCAAGTTGTGTTCAAGATATGCAGCATTCAAGATACAGAAGGAAGTATTGGAAACATACTGGCAGTTAGAAGACGTGTGACCAATTCTTAAATAACACTGCTAAGCTTTCAACATTGTGTATGTTCCTTAATAAAATCAAAAGTGTTTTGAAACTGAGAGCGTGAGAGGCTATGTGGGAAAGAGTTAAATCTTGTGTGTTGGTTAAGGTCTAGTTTCTTTTGGAGCCTGCCATGTCCATCTGTGTCTTCTCTAAAAGACTTGGTAGAAGACAAGAAGGATGCTTTTCTTGCTTTAAGATAGTTGGACTGAACTGGATCGTAGTTTTCATTAAGCTTATCCCCTCAAAATATTCTATTTTCCCCCGGTGGTTGGTGCCACAGCAATCCCTAAAAATATCTCCACTATCATTCCCTAACTTTTTTAATTCCTTGGAAAATAAATGCTAAATCTCCTAGAAGATTCCACAATTCTATTTTTCCCGATAGCTGGGATGTACAGAGCAGGGCGTCTGACTCACTGGGAGTCAGATACTCATACGAACTCTGTCATTAACCACTGGTAAAAAGTTCTGGGGAGGTCACTTGCCTTCTGTAGGCGTCACTTTCTGCTCTAATAAGTTGGGGTGGTTATATTAAATAATTTTGTGTGAACACTTTATTTCCTCATGCAGGCAAAATTCACATCCTTGTATAACGACTTGAACAATGAACCCATTTTAATGACCAGAAGAGAGCATTTTGCAGTTTATTCACTTTTGTAAAGTGATACCCAAGTTGTCTTTATTTTCTTTTCATTGTATTTTATCTTTCAATTTGTCTTGAAAAGGTTAAAACTACTTATACACATAACAGGGAAAATTAACGTGAAAGAAAAATATATCACAACTGGGAGAAACATTAAAAACTCAATCAAATGATTCTTTTGCCATAGGAACCAATTTTACTAAAACTCCTAATTTATATTTCTCTCTCTTTTGTTTTATTTAGAAGCAACATGCATCCTCTTGCATTGCAAGAAGGAATCCTCACAATGATGTTAAATTTGAAGATTCATTGTTTTTGAGAACATTAGAATTAGTCAAGCCTTAAAATTTCTGGCAACACAAAAAAATTAAAGCAACAATATTTTCCCAGCATGCTTCAACTGTGACCACAACAAATCAGTCAGAAATTAAGTGAAATAAAGAGGGAAACACTCTAGGCATTTGAGGCTTATCGTCTGGCTGTAAAAGCTCTTTCTATAGGCCCCAAACACTCTTGATAAAATTAATAACAATGGTTAACATTTTTGAGTGCCCGATATAAACACCAGGTGCTTTATCCTATAATCTACAATCTTGATCAAAAACCCCCTCAGAAGGTAATCTTACCCCTATTTTGCAGAAGGTGAAACCAGGTCATGGAACTGACTTGCCTAAGGTTACTAAATCTGGTTAGAGAGGAATTGAGGGATATTTTAACTCAAGTGTGCCTCATTCCAACACTCACATTCTCTTCGTTTCAATATGGTTACCACGTGCAAGACAATGTGCTCGTCTTGAGGTTGCCCACGTGTTCAGATGTAGTGAAACAGAGAGGTGTGTGCAAATTCACTCTGACGCAAAAGCAGTCTACAGCAGAACCTGTGAGAGACGCTTAAATGGTCTGTTCCTGTTCACTCGGAGGACAAATGATGAATGTTTAGCAAGTTGGAGTATATGTTATTTGCCAGAATTCCTCTTAGGGGCAATGCTATATTTGTTAGAGAAAAAGGTAGCAATTAAACCACTTGAGATACAGAGTGAGGTTCCTCAATCATGTTCAAGTAACAACAACAACAAAAATTATCACTCAATGTCTAGGAGTAAGAAAAGGAGAGAAATGTGCATTCCTTCTAAAAGCAAAGGCTGAAAAGAAGAGTCACTGTATGGGGAAAGGTAAGTAGAGCTAGAACAGTGCTTCTCAACCAGGGGCAGTTTTGCCCTTCCCCTCTAGGAGACGATTAACAATATGTGGAGACAGTAGTGGGTGTTTCAACTTTTGGCGGGGTGGGGGTGGGGTTCAGGTGCTACTGTCACCTAGTGGGGAGAGGCCAGAGATGATGCTAAACACCCTACGATCTACAGGACAGCACCCACAGCAAAGAATTATTTGACCCAAAACATCAATAGTGCTGAGATAGAGAGTCTCTGAGAGAGCATAAGCAAAACAAAACAAAGCAAAACCAACTGCATAGTTACCAAGAAAGGACTTCAGAGGAAAAATAGAGGATTTTTAAACTGTATCTCGTGGGTTGTGCAGAAGCAAACTCTACACCCTTCCTATCCTTGGTATAGTCTACATCAGTGGTTCTCCTCCAGACCAATTTTGCCAGTGTCTGGAGACAGATACGGTTGTCTCAACTCGGAAGAGTACCCTGGGTGGAGCCCAGTGCTTTTGCTTACTATCCCACAACACACAGGACAAGTCCCCAAAACAAAGAATTATGAGGCCCAAACGTCACTAGTGCCATAGTTGAGTAACCTTACAATGCATTAAGCAAAACATCTCTCCCCCAAACTCAACTGCAGAGAAACCACGAAGGGAGTTCAGCGATGAAAACAAGCACAGGACATTTATTTCTTCTGCACTGTTCAGTACAAAACCCTCCACAACAACTTTCCTATCTGCGGTATAATTTATATCAATGACTCTTGATTAGAGTAGATTTTGCCCCCTAGGGGACATTTCACAATGTCTGGAGACACCTGTGGTTGTCCCACACCTAGACGGTAGGATTGCTCCTGGCATCTAACGGAGAGAGGTGAGGGATAAAGATCCTATAATGCACAGGATAGCACCCTACCATGATGGAGTTTTCAGCCCAAAATGTCTACGCTACTGAGGTCAAGAAACTGTGGTTTCCATTGACCAACAAAGTTTTTGTGAGTGGATTGTTTTTTAGAAACTCAAAGAAATACTGAGTTCTGCATCCAAATTGGAACAGAGTGAAAGCAACGCACTTAAGATGCACTGACATAAAATATGACAGAGTAAGAGGAATCAGCTGACCTCAGAGTTATTCCTGTAAAGTGCTTAGCATGCGGATTTGCATTCAGTAGGTACTCAACAAATATTAGATCCCTTCCATCCTGCTGTCCCATCACCTATGAGATAATGCTTGTTCACAATTCCGGATGCTGTTACTCACATGTTTCCCCCATTTGGAACACCCTTTCTCCTCACTCTCTGCTAAGTCAAATCGATTCATCATTCCTAGTCCAGCCAAAGTGCCACATCTTCCCCAAGATCCTATCTGCTCACCTCCATTTCCAAACTTCTCTAGCTCTGGCTATCTACCAACAATGTTGACACCTGTACTATAGTAGTTGACATTTCCTGCAGAGACAGTTTTGAAAAATCCAAATGAATTAAGAGACATTGCACTATCAAATATTTAAATACATTATAAAAATATAACAGGTAAAACAGTTTTATCCTGTATGATTGACAAATCACGAGTGAACTGGCCAGAGCTAAATCTGCATAAAAAGCTAGTATACAATAAAAGTGGAATTTTTAAATCAGTGAAGAAAAGAAAGTCTATTCCAAAACAAATTTTAAAAATTAAAAAACACGTAATACATACATATGCATACATACCTGGACAATTGATCAACCGTAAAACTCCTACTACTGAAAAAAATCCCCACTAGATTCTTTCTTTTTATAGAAAAATAAAAGAACTTGAAGCTCATATAGTAAAATAATTTCTGATATCAATGTGGAAAAACTATTAAACATACAAGCAACCATAAAAAATTAAATGTAAACATTAATAGGTTTAACAACATAAAAATGAAATGTCAAAAATACCATAAAAGGCAAAGGAAACACTAGAAAAATCATTTAAAATATATAACACAATTAGAGTTATTTATGTTTAATATACAGAGTTTTTCACAAAGAAAAAATGCCAGATGAATCCCAAACTAGACATATGGGCAGAAATGGAAAAGGCAATTAACCAATACAGAAGTGAATAATAAGTGTGAAGAAGTGCTTAACTTCTTTATCATGAAAGGAATGAAAAGTAAACCAATGACAGAACTTTTTTCTCTAGAAAATTGGGCTGTGATTACAAGAAAAACGTGAAAATACCTAATACTAGTAAGGATGCAGGGAAATAAACATTGAGAAATTATAATTTGGTAAAATTATATTCCTTGGAGGGATGGTGGAGATGATGTATAAATTTGTATATGCTTAATAGACTTTGGCCTCATCATATCGCTTCTAGACATTTACCATAAAGGGATAGTCATATACACATACCAAGACGTGTATACAAGGCTCTTTATCATAGTGTTACTGAAAATAATTAAATTTCAGAAAAAATAACCCTCAAAGTCTAGTGATAGGATACTAGTTAAATAAATTGCAGCATATTTATTCCTGATTTGGAATAGTAGAAATCATGTTCTTAAAGAATATTTAAGAGTACGATGCAAGTAGTTTATAAAATCAATTCTTTTGTTTTCAGAGAATTACATTGGCCCATAAATCTAAATATAGAGAAAAACACATGAGAAAAATGCACATGAATGATGGCCACAGTTTTCTACATTATGCAGTTATAGGTGGTTTTAATCTTTATTTTGTTTTCCAAAATTTCTACAAAATAATATCACTTTTATTATAATAAAAATGTTATTGAACATAAGTTTTGAATAATTGCTTCAAAAGTAACTTAACGAACAGTTCAATGACTGAAGAAATTAATTCAAGACTCATTGTAGTTGAAGGTATTCAAAATACAAGCATCTCTTCTGTTTTCTCCATTAAAATGTAAACATCATTAATAGGAAACTGGTCCCTTTTCCACCATTGCATCTTAAGTGCTAAAAACAGTGTATTAGCACAGTAAATATCTGAGCAAATGAACGAATGAATGAATGAAAATAAGTGCATTATTTTATTTTCATAGAGCAGAAGTAAACTTTTCTATTTCTGTTCCTTGTTTTGTCTGGTAACACCTGTTGGCCTATAATTC